TTTGAGATATGTATAACCTTACCAATAGTAATAAGGACACTTAGGGTCTAGAAATAGGCTTCTAAATACCATTTGAGATAAATGGCTGGGCTAGGGCAAGGATAATACAAGATGAGCATCGAATAGCTTGTGGTTCCAGAAAGGAAAAAGTGCTCAAATAATTTGGGGAAAAGTCAGAAAAACAAAAGTTTGAATGGACTTCCACTAATCAGATAGCAGACAATATAATAATAGTAATACATTACAAACTACTGAATAAAATAGGAAACCTTGATTTTGTAACATGTAAATAAACGAAAACACTGAATTTCATTAGTAACAGGGTATTTACATGGTTTCAAATTACTTCACCATTAAAGTTACTAATTATAAAAGGAATAGATAAAATACAGGAAGAGCCTGGCAGACACCATCTTCACTTAAGATGATTCAAGTAATGTCATTAGCAATGGGACACATTGAAACATACATGATCTTAGTTGGCTCAGGCTGCCATAACAAAATACCATAAACAGAGTGACGTAAACAGGAATTTACTTTCCCATGTTTCTATAGGCTAGAAAGTCAAAGATAAGGGTTCTGGGAGGATTAGGTTTCTGGTGAAGGCTCTTTCCTGGCTTGCAGATGAACACTTTGTTCACATGTGGTATTTTCTCTGAGTGGGTGTGGATAAAGGTCTCTTCCTTTCTTCCTTGTTTACTAAGGTCACCAATTTTATCGGATTAGACGCCCACCTAATTACCTACCTCTAATTAACTCCTAAAGGCCATATCTTTAAAGGCAGTCACATTGGGGTCAGGGCTTCAAGGTATGAATTTGGGGGTGGAAGGACCCAATTTAGTCCATAGAAACACCTGATAGGACACAAAGAAGGCAACATCACTGCTGTGGTTTCCTGACAGAGAGGCAAAACTTGAATCTAATTATGAGGAAGCATGAAGCTCAAATTGAGGGATGTTTATAAAATAAGTGGCTAATGATCTTTAAAGTGTCAACGTTGTTTATGTCAATAAAAGACTGAGGAACCATTTCAGACTGACAAAGACTAAAGAAACGTGATGGGGCTCCTGCCTGGCTGAGTCAGAAGAGCATGTGACTCTTGATCTTAGGGTTGAATTCAAGCCCCATGTTGGGTGTAGAGATTACTTAAAAATAAAATATATTTTTTAATTTTTTTAATATTTTATTTTATTGAGAGAGAGATACAGAGTGTGAGTGGGAGAGGGGCAGAGAGAAAGGAAGACACAGAATCTGAAGCAGGCTCCAGGCTCTTAGCTGTCAGCACAGAGCACGACGCGGGGCTCAAACTCACAGACTGTGAAATCATGACCTGAGCCGAAGTCGGACGCTTAACCAACTGAGCCACCCAAGCGTTGGATCCAGTTCTCAGAACCAAGCAAGGAACCATTATAAAGCTGTGACCTGAACCAACTGAAACACAGCAACTTCTGGACTGTCCTAAAATCATTTGGTTATATTTCTGAGAGCCGTAATACTAACATTTGAGGCTAAATCTACGGTTGTGTGTTCCACTTCATCTTGAACCCAACCTAATTTTGATTTTCTGTTGCATTTTTGGTAATCGGTGCTCAACCCTGTGACAAATAGAAATTCCTTCTCCCAATGTCCTTTTGTCCACCCTACATACGGACTTCTGGAACATTGTACAGCTGGTAATTGGCTAAGGAGACATTCCCCACAGAGGCTTCTCACTCCTCAAATGGAAGGTCCTGCTTCTGCTTTTCTGCACAACCTTCTTCCCAACTATCACCTTAGTCCAAGAGGGCAGCCACCTTCCTCTGTACACCAATCAGGGCAAATTTGCTTCTGCCCTAGGTTGCGTGTTTTTTGACACAAGACTCACCTAAGATATGCAAGGGGTAGTTACCAAACGACTCCTTAATGTATATTGCACTCACATGAGAAATGAAAGGCAACCCATCCTCTCTCTGTGGCCCATCGATCGACAGAAACGTATCTTATGCACATAAACACTGGAGCACAGGGGAACAGAGTGCAAGGATAGGGGAGAAGCCAGAGAGGCAGGGAGAGATGGCTGCCTTGTCCACTTGAAAAAATGACCAACCTAGGGGTGCCTGGGTGGTTCAGTTGGTTAAGCGTGCAACTTCGGCTCAGGTCATGATCTCCTGGTTTGTGGATTCAAGCCCCGCGTCAGGCTCTGTGCTGACAGCTCAGAGCCTGGAGCCTGCTTCAGATTCTATGTCTCCCTCTCTCTCTGCCCTCTCTCCTGTTTGCACTCTCTCTCTCAAAAACAAATAAACATTTTTAAAAAAAATTTTTAAAAGAAAAAATGACCAACCTGGATTGTCTCAGGTAAGAAGTCAGTCCTTCTTTCCTATCAGCTAGTCATGTAAGCTCCTCGTTGTGCCCACCAGTGTTACATTGGCTCAGAGGAAGGCAGATTTCTGTTCAGGGTCAAAGTCCACATGGAATGACACAGAAAAGGTTCCGCAGCTCTAGTAGATAGCTGCCTCTATTTGTATGAGCCAGATTATGCTGCAGAAACACACGACACCAACACCTCAGTGGTTTAACAAAAGTTTATTTCTCATTCCCATAAAGTCCATCACAGGTCTGGGCCATGCTCCAGAACAGCTCCTCACCAAGGGGCCAGGGGGCACGGCGCTCAGCATTCCAGACTACTTTGACCCTGTGGCCCCTTCCTGTGTGGGCTTCCATGATTGACGCAGAAGAGCACTACCGAGTCTTGCACCAACAATGAAAGGCTTCAGCCCACAAGTGAGGCTTCTGCTCACAACCCATTACCCAAAACTACCTCGTGACTCTAACTTCAAGTAGCAGAAAACCACAATCACTCTCTCTACTCTTCACTAGAATATGAGTCCCATGAGAGTGGATTTCCAGCTCTTTTGTTCACTACTATCTTCTCAGTCTAGAACGGTGCCTGGGCCCACAAGAGATCCCCATCAAAGTGAATGAATGTAGCACCAGGAAGATGTCCACATGTATCCCGGGATGACACAGTACCAGTAGTCGAAGGATGAGGGCGTTGGGTAACAGCTATGCAGACAGGAGCTTCAGAGCTGGCTGTGCTTACGAAATCATATTTGAATCATCTTGAAGAAAATAAAGTCTCATTGAGGGCGCTAGACCATCACGAGACTTAAACCATAAAGCACTGGAGTCAAAGACCAAAGCAGCTAAGCACTATCACCACCAGCAGCGCTCAACTCCTGAAAGGAGTTGCCAATAGCCATAAATGCACCTGCTTCCTAAGCGTAGTCAGTCTGCCCAGCATATCATGGGGAGCAGGGGAAAGGGAAAGAAACGCACGGTGAGCATCTACTACTGGCCAGGCTGTGGAGTGCTTTTCCTTCACCAGCCCCTCTAGTCCCCAGAATAACCTTGAGATGAAACACAGTTTTCTTTCACAGAGAACGTGGAGGCTTAAGTGTTTCAGTAACGAATCAAACCACAGGAATGTCTTATAAGCTAGAAACAGACACAACACATCATCCAGTCTGGCCCTGGAGGGATAACACACACATCCATCCTGCAAATCCTACCTTCAGGCCTGACTCATGCAACCAAGTGACAACCAACAGACTCACTAGCCATAGGGTATCCGAACCTGAATTTCCTTATTTATAAGGTATTTAGAAGAAATCATTTAACCTCTTTCCTGACACCACCTAAAAGCTCTAATGGGAATACATGAGAGTTGTTGTAGATAAGAGCTCTAAGAAGATCCACAGCCTACAGAGATTTTCAGCCGTCTATCATGTATCACCCAAGGCTGTTGTTAGATGCTGTGCACAAAACAGAGACGTATCTACCCTACCTGCTTAGTAACAGTTTACAGTTTAAGACATCCATCCAACGTGGATGTGGATTCACCCATTCTTACCCACCAGTCAGCATCAGTTCCCAAACGTTTTCTCTTGGGAACCCTATCTTCCGCCATACCCAGTGAACCACATCCTGCCTGCAGCACACATTCTAGTTCTAGTTTGTTCTTAAAAACAAAAGCCAAAGTACAGAGCAAATTAAAAAAACCTGAGAAGTTCATCCCAAACTTTCATTAATTTTCTTTAGGCTTCAAGAAAGTGCTGATTTTTATGCTTCATCATACTGAGATTATAAGAAAAGAACTAGTTTATTTTACTGCAGAAATATCTTTACATGTCATACACAATCCATGGCTAAACATTCCAACCCGTTTTCATATGATCTCATTAGAGATGTTTATATTTTTTTCAAACACCACCAATGAGGTATAAGATAGTGCATTATTAATTTACCTGGCAGATTCACTAGTGGTGAAGTAAATAGCATTTCATCACAGTAAAACTGGTGCTAAAAGGATTCAAGAGCTAAAGTTGCTAAAATGTTCAGGAAGGAACTCAAGTGATGTCCAACTTTCGGAACAGTGTCCAATGACAAGGGAAAGGAAGAAAATCCAATTTAGTTCTTGGAAAACTTGACAACAGAACTCATTTTTTCCCCACACGGGACTTAAAATTGTTAAGTCAACTACCTTGAAGGCAACTGAAGGCAATTAAATAAGCAGGTTATTGCTTTTTCTTTTGGGAGACCGTGCTATAACTGTTTCTGTTATATGTGTTTAAAAGTGACTGGGAATTCAATGCAAAACCAATAGAATTTACGCTCTGCTATCACAGAAGACGGAGTCATGGGCGCATTTGCTAATTAAAGCTGGCTTTGTTACTTTGTCAGATACTATTGCAAAATGTTTCCCTAACTGAGAATGTTTTTTTCAATACCTTTCTTACTAAGGAATTCCCAGAAGGTCATGTGTAAAAATGTAAGTAGTACAAAACTACTTATAGAGATCCCTGCAGTCAACCTTGATTCCTTTCTGTGAAATATGGTTTTATCAATTTTTCCACCGATGAAGAATTACTCGTGCTTCACAATTTTGTATTTTTTCACAAATGTCAAGGTCAACCTCCACTTGGTGAATTTCTTCGTGCTGAGGACACAAGATGAACTTCCGGTCAGCGGTGAAGTTTCTGGTGTCTGAGGAGGCTTGACCGCCTGCTGAAGTTTCTCCTGCAGGTGCTGCAAGTATATGGCTGCTCACCTGTGTGGGTTCTCCGATGCTTAATAAGGTGGGAGTTCTGACTGAATTTTTTCCCACACTCATGACATGTAAAGGGCTTCTCTCCAGTATGAGTTCTTTGGTGTGTGTGTAGATTTGTATTTTGACTGAAGCTTTTCCCACACCAGGAGCATTTGTATGGTTTTATTCCTTGATGTGTTGTTAAGTGCTTATTAAGATCTGAACTCCATCTAAACCTCTTATCACACTGTTGACATTTATATGGTTTCTCTTCAGTGTGAATTCTTTGGTGCTTAATAAGGTCAGAGCTAACTCTGAAGCTTTTCCCACATTCTTGGCACTTAAATGGCTTCTCTCCAGCACGGGCTTTCTTGTGAAGATCCATAAGTTTCAGCAACTCTTGTTTCCAGCTTGAAAGTTTCTTTTTTTTCTTCACAGGAAAATCTCGATGCCACTTCCCTAACCTGTGTGTATCACCATGGTTTTCTTTGCCTGTTGTTTTCTGGGGAACTTTTGCTCGGGCCTTTTTTGATACTATGTCTCCTGGTGCTTGTATTTCTAAATCAGAAACACATATAGGCTGATGGTTTTCAGTG